GCTCTGAGCCATCAGCCCAGAGCCTGACGCGGGGCTCGAACTCCCGGACCGCGAGATCGTGACCTGGCTGAAGTCGGACGCTTAACCGACTGCGCCACCCAGGCGCCCCCAAATATTTTTTATTTATGTGAATTCAAGCCACATAAAATTCTGACTTACCAAATGGTAAAAAACCCAAATTATGTTTTGTTGGTTAGGAGGGATTGGGACAGTCTGCCCTCAATATATGAACTCTAAAAATAAAAAATTAGTTTCTTCATTACTAAAAAGTTCAATTCACTAGGCAGCTGAAAAGTTATCAACTTTACATTCAATTTATCTGACCAACATCCATTTTAAAACGCAAACGGGGGAGCCCCTGGGTTGCTCAGTCAGACTCTTGGTTTCAGCTCTGGTCATGATCTCACGGTTCTTGAGTTCAAGCCCCACCTTGGGCTCTGTGCTGACAGTGCAGAGCCTACTGGGGATTCTCTCTCCCTCTCTCTGCCCCTCCCACACGCGCTGTCTCTCAAAATAAATAAATAAACTTTATTTTTTTAATGTTTATTTTTGAGAGAGAGACAGAACACAAGCTGGGGAGGGGCAGAGAGAGAGAGAGAGACAGAGGGAGACACACACTCTGAAGCAGGCTCCAGGCTCTGAGTTGTCAGCACAGAGCCTGACGCGGGGCTCGAACACACGGACCATGAGATCATGACCTGAGGTGAAGTCAGACGCTCAACAGACTGAGCCACCCAGGTGCCCCTCAAAATAAATAAATAAACTTGGAGGGGAAAAAAAAAACCCTCAAACTGACGGCTCTTGTCAAAAATTTCATCTTAACCAAAATACCGCTTCCCACAAAGCAAACAATGCTCACTGATCAAGTGGCAAAATTACTGGCATAGACTCCACGGAAGTGCCTTTTACAAACTCAAAAAGCCTGCCCAACATGTTTGGGAAGTTCGTTAATGGACTAATTTCAGCTTTGATTATTCTAAAAAGGTTTCTGAAGCCTAAAATAAGGTTTGATGTAAACTACTTTCTAACAAAATCAAGCAATTACAAGGAAAAAATACTGTGATGAACTGGAAGAAGTTTCCACAAGTTTGTGGACAAGTTTCCACGTACACGCAGTGGATAAATCAAGACTGTTTACTGCTAAGAGACTATGTATGTATCCATAAAATACCAAGCCTTCCAAGCCTCCTACTCAGACACACACAACAGAAACACATGCACCTGTTTTCCAACTACATCAGCATCCACCCATGTACCATATAATCACACATATTATCCTTGGTATACAAAAATACTATGGACCAGCTTGTTTATGTTTTCTTCCAACAGTGTTGACAGGTAGCAGTGAATCACACATTCTCCTGTGTCTCATCTGCCTCATGATCAATGACACATGCTGCCAACATCTGAGGTTAAGGATGCAAACTGAGACTACAGATTATTTTCTCCTTCTCGTGATGCTAAATGTTACCTATATACAAACATGGAATGAATGACCTCCCTTAGTGTCCCTGGTTCCAAACTCAAACCTCAATAACTGCAGCAGACTCAAATCTGAACTACAGAACTGCAGTAGTTACATTTCTATTTGAAAAAGACATGACCGTTATCATATCGTTGAGCATCCTCTACAAGAAAAGAACCACACTAAAAATAGAAAAAAACATACTAACCCCACCCCAAAATTTTTTTAAGTCAGACGTAATTTCGGGGCGCCTGGGTGGCTCAGTCAGTTAACTGTCCAACTTTGACTCAAGTCATGATCTCATGGTTGGTGGGTTTGAGTGCCCGGCTCTGTGCTGACAGCTCAGAGCCTGGAGCCGGCTTCGGATTCTGTCTCCTTCTCTGTCTGCCCCTCCCCCACTCACGCTCGAGCGGGCACATGCGCGCTCTCTCTCTCTCTTAGAATAGACATTAAGAAAACAAAATTTAAAAAAGATACAATTTCAAGTATGTTATCTCCTAAATCATCAAAATCCTAGAAACCCCACTACTTAGAAGACTACAAGCAGGGGTGCCTGGGTGGCTCAGTCAGTTGAGCATCTGGCTCTTGATTTCAACTCCGATCATGACCTCACCGTTTGTGAGTTCCAGCCCCGCATCGGGCTCTTCGCTGTCAGCCTCCCTCTCTCTCTGCCCCTCCCCGGCTCACGCTCTCTGATTCAGAATCTCTCTCTCTCAAAATAAATACATAAATAAATTTAAAAGAAAAAGGGGGAAAAAAAAGACTGCAACAAGCATGTCCTAGAATACTTCCATAACCAAAAATACTTGGTAAAACAATGTATCCATCTTTCAATGCTGAATATATGGTAACCACAGAAAAAGAATCCATACCCATTTCTCAGAGGTCTTGAAATCTAGTTGGGAAGCAGAATAAAAGCTTAAAAAGATAGGGGGCGCCTGGGTGGCGCAGTCGGTTGGGCGTCCGACTTCAGCCAGGTCACGATCTCGCGGTCCATGAGTTCGGGCCCCGCGTCGGGCTCTGGGCTGATGGCTCAGGGCCTGGAGCCTGTTTCCGATTCTGTGTCTCCCTCTCTCTCTGCCCCTCCCCCATTCATGCTCTGTCTCTCTCTGTCCCAAAAATAAATAAAAACGTTGAAAAAAAATTTTTTTTTTAAAAAAGATAAACTGAAATCCAGGCTAGCATACGCTGGTGTAAAAGTCCCACACAAAAAAAGGAGGGAATAGATCCCTTGAGGCTGAACTCGAGAAAAAGACTTCTCAAGAGACAGGACTCAACTGGGCCCAAAGTAAAGAGGGGATCCATGAATAAATGGCGGAAGAGGATTTCCAACAGAAAGAAAGGCACAAAGAAAGGCCGAGAGGAGGGACTTCACGAGAACAACAAACGAGTTAGTTTGGCAGGAACTAAGAATGCACAAAGGGAAGAAATGAGTTAAGACTGAAGAGAACCAGGGCCAGACTACAGAGAAACCTGAACACCACACCAGGAAGCTTAAGCCTTAGTTCGCATGTGATAAGGAGAGTTCTGGAAGTTTTTATGTTGTGATGTGAGGAGACGAGAGTGTTAAAACGTTCAAGATGTTATTTACCCAAAGCATAAGCAAGCACAAATATTCCAAGTACAACAGCACATCACTGGCAGAAAACGTGTTCGAAGCCCAGGTAGAAGAGCTTATTGGGGCAGAAAGGAGGCAACAGCAGTGCTCACATGATAAAACTGAACCGGGTTAAATAAGAAGTTACAGTGTTCTGCTTTTTCCAACTCCCATTCACCTAAAGTTTCCACTTGTTACAAAAGCGATGTAAGTGTAGAGCACCCGGAACAGCCCTCACCATGTCAGTGACACAGAGGAGGCGATTTACCTGGGATAGCGTACAACTGGCTTGTGAGTTCCAGAACTGTGCCAGCCCTCAGACTGAAACGTGACGCGCCTTAACCCTTCCCAGGGTACAGAGCCGGGCTGAGGCCCGGACCAGAAAGTACAGCACCATGAATGAGCTCCCCATGCTAAGCCAGGCACGCTTCGAGAGTAAATAAATGGGAGTCTCAACGCTCCGAAGCGTTAATAAAAGTGATGAAACGCCAACAGAAATAAAAACCCCTCCTGACATTCAAATACCCTCCCCAAAGCTTAAAAGGTGTCACTCCCGTCCTCTGAGTTTCCCTCACGGCCCAATAAAAACAATGTTATGAAATTTCAGTATAAGGAAGTGACCGCGTATCTTAAGATCCAAAAAGCAAGAGGGAGCAAGAGTCTAAGTTTCTTTAGAATTACCTCATTTAATTAATGATAATAGCCAGGAGAAGAGACTCAGCTTTCTTTGCCACAAACACAGTTTAGGTGACTTTTCCCAGGCCCTTGGCATTAAACCAAGATCAAAAATCTTTATGGTTTCCCCTGGCGTATGAGTTGTACACTGAGTCATCCACGTTTGCTCAAAACGGGGGGACCCTGGAGGTCGCGCGAGTGATAAAGTCAACTTTAAAAAAAAAAAAGGCCACAGATACAAGAACCGCTCGTTGTAGGAGGTTTCCAAGGGCTAGGGATCTCTCAACTGTACTCTCAAATAATATTTCTGTACGCTAAATTTTTCGACAACACCATAGGTCATGCGGTGAGCACACAGACCAAAACACCGGGCGAAGAGGACGCCGCTGAACCTGGTAATAGTCTATGGAGTCACGGAAAAGGAGGCTCAGGCCACAGAAACTCAAAATTCTCAGCCAGAAGGGGTTCAAAACACCAGTGTATCTCAAAGATAAGGGGCCGGCTCAAACTTCCAGGCTGGACCTAAACTGCCCGTCCCTTGCGCTCAACGCCAAGTATTCATTACAGCCCTTTTGTCTGTGAAATAACCCGTAGCAAACCACCGCGGAGAAAATAACCAGATACTTGCACCGCACCACCGTGGTCGCGAGCGAGCAGGGTAAACAATCTTTCCCCCGGTTCCAGCTCCTCCTCCCCAACCCACCCCCCCCCCCCCCCCCCCCGTCGCCCTCCACCCTCATTTTCTTAGACGCGGCACCGGCAGGAGGCCACCTCGGAGGGCGGAGAGGGAGCGGCCAGAGGGCCAAAATGCAACTTTGGAGGCCAGCACTAACTTGGAAAGATGGAACCAAGTATCACGGCCTATTGCACAGCAGGAGCGAAGCCCCCCTCACCCGCCCGTATGTGGCAGAAAAAGAAGTTGGGGGGCGAGGGAGGGGGGACTCTGGCGGAAGAGAGGTGGCGGGGCAGGCGGCGCGGCCAGCCGCGGCTGATCGATGGTGGGTAAACAAGCGCGGCGGACCCACCCTCCCACAGCCCCGGGGCCTGTCCCCGCACCGAGAAAGCCCGAGATGGGAGCGCGGCGGCGGCGGCCGCCCGGGCCCCCTCCCCTCGCCTCGCCTCCCCTCGCCCGCAACGCCGCCCCAGGGGGCGCGGGCGGGCCGCCCCGGACACCCGGCGGCCAGCAGGGAGCGAGGGGCCGGGCAGGCCGCAGAGGGGGCCGCGAGGGGCCTGCAGTGGGGCGCCCTCCCGGGGCCCGGTTACCTGGCGGCGGCGGCGGCGGCTCCTCCAGCTCCTGCTCCTCCTCCCCGTCCGATGCTCGGCGCCCGGCGGCGGCGGCGGCGGCGGCGACTCCCCGAGCAGCCCGAGGCGACGAGCCGAGCCCGGCCCCTCTCCGCCTCCCTCCGTGCCGCCGCCCGTCCCGCTGCTGCCGCCTCCGCCCTCTCCCCTCAGTCAGGACATGGTCTCCGCGGGCCCGCGCGCGGCTCCCGGCTACCGGGGGCGGGAGTCAGAGGGGCGGAGAGCAGGCGCGGAGGCGGGGGGCACTCCAGGGGCAAAGAGGGAGGGGGCAGAGCGACGGGGGGGGGGAGTCGGCCTCAGGCGCTGCGGCTCCTAATGGCGTCGGCGAGGGGCCCCGGAGCCAAATAAACCCCACGGCGAGCAGCACAACGTCAAGGCCCGACCCCGCCGCTCGCTGCCCTGTCATTGGCCCGGAGGCCGCCAGCGGCGCAGCCAATGGGAGACCGCCTCTTTCCGGACGCAGGGGGCGGGCCGCGGAGAGGTGACGTCATGCCGGCGTCCGGCCCCGATTGTGAAGCTCCGCCGGCGGGGCTGCGGGCGGGCGGCGAGGTGCGTGGCACTCCGGGAGGCGGCGGGGCGGGGCGGGGCGGCGCGGCGCGGCGCGGCGTGCGCAGGGCTGGGGGACGCGGGCGGGGCGTCCTCTCGCCTGGCGGACTCCTTTTGCCCGCTCTGTGCCCCCGGTTCCCCGGACTTCCAAGCCCAGCCGTGGATCTCAGGTCTCCCAAGTAGTCTTAGTGACAGATTCTGCCTCGTTCTAATAACAGTTTCAAACTCGTTATAAGACATCGGGAAAGATGAATGTTTAGGGCTTTCTCTTTTTTTTTTTCCAAATTTTTACAACGTCTATTTTTTACGTAAGCCCTACCTTCGAGGCAGCTATCCATTTCTACGTGTGTTTGTGTATGTTTGTTACATATTACGTACATATGTGCATGATGAAAAGCCATGGGGTTTATATGCCAATTCTATCTCAAAATTAAAAAATTGGTGGGGTGCCTGGGTGGTCCAATCCGGATTGGGCTCAGGTCACGATCTCGGGGTTTGTGGGTTCGATTCCCACGTCCAGCTCTGTGCTGACACCTCGGAGCCTGGAGCCTGCTTCGGATTCTATCTCCCTGTCTCTCTGCTCTTCCCCCACTCCCTCTCTCTCTCAAAAATAAGTAAACATTAAAAAAAAAATTTTTTTTTAACTTTTTTTAAGCCACGGAGACTTTGCTTTCTTTTCTGCTACCTAACTCTAATTTGGGGTAAACCCAGCTTTCTTATGGTTGCCTTTTCTGGGGCTTGGAGCTTTTCTGTAAATTGTAAATTTACAGATAGAGGATAAATTACAGCCGTGGTAAAAGTGCTGCCGGGAGAATTCCCAGAGCCTACGTCTTAAAGGGAATATGTTATATGGTGATGTAGTGTGTGTGTGTGTGTGTGTGTGTGTGTGTGTGCGCGCGCGCGCACGCGTGTGTATTTACTTTAAATATAGTCAAATAGTTAAGTCATTGAGCCTTTTGCTAAAAGCCCATGTGTCAAAATTTTCCAGCTGGAGGAGTTTGTTTTTCTTAGTGGGGCTTTGCCTTGAATTTTTCATACTTCAAAACTGTATTTCAAGAATTTGAAAAACTGTAAAGTACAGCAACTCTTTATTATAGACCTCTTTAAAAGTTATCTGTTGAGGAGCTATAGCACAGTCAAAGGGCATTAGCAGTTTATGGGACACCTCAGCTTCAATGGGAAGATTAAGAGTTTAACTGGATTTTTAAAACTAGCAGATTTCATTTAGTAAAACGATTCATGGTATTATTCTCAGTCTCTCTTTGCATAAATAGAAAGTTGAGGATATGTGTATAGCTTTACTATGGCCACTTAAGAATAATACCTTGTATAGCTACCCATCACCAACAACCTCTTTCATAACGTTACTATATTTTATCCTCACGGCCATTCCTGTGGTAGAGATTTTCAATCATCCCCATCTTCCCAAAACAACATTATTTGGTCAAAGACTTGTCAATAAGTTGAGTTTAAACGGCAACAGTCACTTGGCTGCAAAACTTAACACGTATCCTCAAACATATAATTAACACAACTGTCAATTAAATTAAACACCATATGACTATGTTAGAACAAATGGTTCAACCAACATTTCACTTTGAAAATATTTTAAGAGCTTCTGAGTACCTCCAGCTTCCCCTTCCTGAACCTCAGCTGCAAACCACCTCACCTAAGAGTCCACAAGAACTGCAGAATTAGGTGGAGTTTGGTGGGGTTTTTTTATGCTTGTTTTTTGAGAGAGAGAGAGAGGGTGCAAGTGGGGCAAGGGCAGAAAGAGGGGGACAGAGGATCCAAAGCGGACAGCAGCGAGCCCAGTGTGGGGCTCGAACCCGCCAACTGCGAGATCATGCCCTGAGCTGAATGAAGTCAGACGCTCAACTGGCTGAGCCACCCAGGTGCCCCTAGGTGTTTTTATTTAGTTAGAGTTGTGGCTGATTTTGTTAAGAGAACGGAATATTGTTGGGGTAGGGCGAAGGAAAGTTAGCAAGTAAGCACCATGTGCCAAGGAACAAGAAGTACACAAAGATGAGTAAGATACGTTCCGTGTTGGAGGGACTAAAGCATAGGTAGGGAAGAGAGCAAGACAAAAATAGCCATAATTAGAATATGAGATGGAATGCGCTAAGTATATTCAAATGAAAATTACCTCATAATTAAGAGGAAGAGCCAATCCCAATGTTTTTTTTTTTTTAATTTTTTTTTCAACGTTTATTTATTTTTGGGACAGAGAGAGACAGAGCATGAACGGGGGAGGGGCAGAGAGAGGGAGACATAGAATCGGAAACAGGCTCCAGGCTCTGAGCCATTAGCCCAGAGCCCGACGCGGGGCTCGAACTCACGGACCGGGGGATCGTGACCTGGCTGAAGCCGGACGCTTAACCTACTGCACCACCCAGGCGCCCCGCCAATCCCAATGTTAAAGCTGGAAAAAAAGTACGCACGATTTTTAAAAAGTTCTTTTGCTTACAACTCTTGTAAAAGTGCAGCAACAGTACTGTTTGGTTGACAATTTGTTTTGGCTTTTATCTGAGAAACAGCAAAATTTCCATTGTACTTACTGTGAAGGTCTTGAATGCCTAATTGTGCATCTGTACTTAATTCCTTTACTAATTCAAAACCACGGGAAGGTTTGAAGCAGGAAATGCCAGTACCGAAACCGTATAACCTGCAACGTCCGTGAGACAAACTTGGGTAGAACTAGAGACAGGGAAATCAACGAATAGACAGGAACCCAACTCCAAAGTAGTTATGGGACTGCGAAGGAGGGACAGACATGAAAAAGGGTAGCAGGAGAAGGGTCAGGGTTTGCCAGTGTCTGAATCTGGGGCAGAAGAATCAAAACTCGGAGAACTCTGACTGCTAAGTGGGATGATTAACAGTGGGAAACACAGGAAAGGAATTAGATAAGAGGAGATCAGGTGTGTCCAGATCCTGGGCTCAGGAGGAAATGTGCAGCAAGCAGCAGAAAAGCTGGTCTGAAATTGGATAGGCTGGAGCTAGAGATCAACACCAGGGAATTATCTATGTAGAAGTTACTACTAAAGTCACAGGGGTAGGAAACCAGAACTACCAAGGAGGAGAAAACAACTGGTCAGAAAGAACATTTAAAAAAGGTGTTCTGGGGGCGGCTGGGTGGCTAGCTGTTTCAGCACCTGACTTGATTTTCAGCCGGGGTCGTGATCTTGTGGTTTGTGGGATTGAGACCCAACTCGGGCTCCTCGAAGCGAGAAGCCTGCTTAGGACTCTATCTCCCTCTCGCTGCCTCTCCCCCCTCCTCTCTCTCTCTCTCTCTCAAAATCAATAAACAGTATTAAAAAAAAAAAAAGTGTCCCGAAAGTCAAAGCAGCCAGTAAGCCTCGGGAACGTGGTAATATAATAAATAATGTCAGATTCTAGAGACTTAGGAATTAGAACAGAGAAAAGGTCACTGGGTTTGACAAACAAGAGGCTTAGTGACCTTCTAGAGAAGCATTGTCAGTGGGATGGTGGAGAAAGAAGCCAGATTTCAAAAGCCGAAGGTATATGTGGGCATTGAAGTAGTGACTATATACTATCAGTCCCAGACGTTTGGCAATGAAAAAAAGGCAAGAACTCTAATAATAGACACAGGGGTAACGAGAATAAGGGAAAGGTTTTTTCTTTTACATATTTAAAAAAAATTTTTTTTTAAATGTTTATTTTATTTTTGAGAGAGAGAGACAGAGTACGAGAAGGGGAGGGGCAGAGAGAGAGGGAGACACGGAATCCGAAGCAGGCTCCAGGCTCTGAGCTGTCAGCACAGCCACCCACGTGGGGCTCAAACCATGAACCCTGAGATCATGACCTGAGCTCAAGTCAGATGCTCAACAGACTGAGCCACTCGGGCGCCCCCTCTTTTACATATTTTTAAATAATTTTTTAATGTTTATTTATTTTTGAGACAGAGAGCGTGAACAGGGGAGGGGGCAGAGAGAGAGGGAGACACAGAATCCCAAGCAGGCTCCAGGCTCCGAGCCGTCAGCACAGAGCCCGTCGCGGGCTTTGAACTAAAGAGCCGTGCGATCATGACTCGAACGCCTAACCGACTGAGCCACCCAGGCGCCCCTCTTTTACATATTTTTAAAAGAATAAGCGTATCCGTGTACTTTTGTACACAGAGGAGAGAAGGTGAAGAAGGAGAAAGTGATTCGGATCCAATAGGGAGGTCAACCGGAGCGCAGTGCTTTGTCTCGGCAGGCAGGCGGGAGGGCCCTTTCTTTCTCTGCAAGGAGAGGAGAGGAAGTTGTGAAAGAGCCGTAGGGAGATTCTGATCGGAGGGAGGTGATGAAGCGGACTGCATACCCTCTGTCCTCCTGCCTGTAGCAGGAGCGGTTCACCTGCTCAGGGCTGGGCCTGGAGCCGAAGGAGGACCAAGGATGTTGGGACAAAGGCTGTGAGGAAGCCAACCAAGCAGGATGGAGAAGAAGAGCAACAAGGAACCACTTTCTCCAACGAGGCCGGGAAACCCAGAGTCAGGCCCAGGACTGGGAGGCCAGACCTCAGAAGCCACCCGGGGGGAAGGGGGGGGTGACATTTCCAAATGAGGAAAATTGAAGGCGCCCTGCTGAAGGAAATGCCAACACGTCCAGCTAGCTTAGGGTCTCTTCTGGGGGGGGGTGGGGGTCTGTGCTTCTCTGAAGCACGTTTTATAAAATTGGTGAGCTCCCCTCAAAAGAAATGCGAGAACGAATTCCAAGAACAAATTCTCGGCCATGTTGCCCGATCCATTTTCATATAATAAATGACGCTGTTTTGTGGAATATATCCTGTGACCCTTCTGGACGCCAACCATAAACCTGCCTGGGATAAAAT